CCCTCAAACCCCACCCAGGACCCCCCGAATTTGGGATTTTTTTGGGAATTTCGGGAATTTTGGGAATTTCAGCCATCCCACCTGATCCTCTCGGAATCCGAGGGGTGCGGCATGTGGTGCCAAAAATCCCAATTTCCCTGCTCTGAATGCCCTGTAACCCCCCATAACCCCACCCAGGACCCCCCGAATTCGGGATTTTTTTGGGAATTTCGGGATTTTTTTTTAAATTTTGGGAATTTTAACAATCCCCACCTGATCCTCTCGGAGTCCGAGGGGTGTGGCATGTGGTGCCAAAAATCCCAATTTCCCTGCTCTGAATCCCCAAAATCCCACCGTAACCCCCCCGAATTCGGGATTTTTTTGGGAATTTCGGGATTTTTTGGAATTTTGGAATTTTTTGTGCCCCCCACCTGATCCTCTCGGAGTCCGAGGGGTGCGGCATGTGGTGCCAAAATACCCCAAAAATCCCAATTTCCCTGCTGTGAATCCCCTGTAACCCCCCATAACCCCACCCAGGACCCCCCGAATTTCGGGATTTTTTTGGGAATTTCGGATTTTTGGGAATCCCCACCTGATCCTCTTCCGAATCCCAGGGGTGGTGCCAAACATACCCCAAAAATCCCAATTTCCCTGCTCTAAATCCCCAAAAAACCCCTATAACCCCCCTCAAATCCCCCTGAATTTCGGGATTTTTTGGGAATTTCGGAATTTTTTGGGAATTTCGGGATTTTTTGGGAATCCCACCTGATCCTCTTCCTGAATCCCAGGGGTGGTGCCAAACATACCCCAAAAATCCCAATTTCCCTGCTCTGAATCCCCAAAATCCCACTGTAACCCCCCCGAATTCGGGATTTTTTTGGAATTTCGGGAATTTCGGGATTTTTGGGAATCCCACCTGATCCTCTCGGAATCCGAGGGGTGCGGCATGTGGTGCCAGGCGGGCTCCTGCAGCGCCTGCTGGTAGAGCTGCTCCTTGGGCAGGGGCAGGGGGCCCAGGGGACAGACCCC